GACTCCAGAGCCCAGCCTCCTACCTCTATCGCAGTGCATCACAGCTCCTGCAGCTGTGCCATTAGTAACCCTGTTTTTAGGACTTGAAGTCCGTTTGGTATTCTGTAGTCAATTCATGGGCTTCCCTGGTGGCTCAGCTGGTAAAGAATCTGCCTGCAATGTGGGAGACCTGAGTTCAATCCCTGCGTTAGGAAGATCCCCTGGAGAAGGGAACAGCTACCCACTCCAGTATTCATTGCCTAGGACTCCTCAGCCTTGACCCCAGCCACAGACCAAGCCCGGATTACTGACACACCAGGGCTGGCCACACACCATGCTCTGACCCTGGTCTCAGATGGACCCATAACCACAGCCACAGCATCCTGACCCCAAGCAGCCATGTCAGAGGCATAGATGTGAGTTTTGGAAGAGTACAGGCCACGCTCTCCCTAAGACTGGCCTGCTGGGCCGGGGGTGTCATCCCCAGAGGTGAAGGCCATCCACACGTCTCCAGGACAGCTTGGACACACGCCACAAAGCCACCGGCTGGCCCTCGGGAGACGTGGTTGTAACTGGGCCCTGCCCCAACCCCTGTGTGACCCTGGACGTGTCCCACCTTCCTTGGCCTCAATTTCCGCTCTGCCCTACTATTCCCCAGGGAGGCATAGATAATCTTTGAGGCCTTCCCAGCTCTAAAGGTTGGTGATTCAGGAGACACAAAATGCTCTTGTGGGCCTGCTTCCAGACTTTTCCCAGCTCTCACTTCCCTAGTCTGACTTGCTTCCACTCTTAACTTCCTGGCCTCAGTCTCACAGTCCAGTGGTTAGAAACAGCCCTCAGGGCCGCAAAGACCTGGCCTCAAGACACAATCACCACATCCTAGCTGGGGGATGCCGGGGCGGGGGGGAACCTCAGCAAATTTCTTAGCCTCTCAGAGCCTCAGTGTGTTCACCTGTGAAATGGGGGTTTTGGGGTCCTGGGAAGACTCGTGCAGCAGATGTGTGAGAAGCTTTCGGCGCGGAGTCTGGCAAGTGGAAAGGGTCAGCAGGTCAGAGCCAAACAGGCTGCCTTTGTGTGGGCTTCCTGGGCTTTACTCAGTTCAGTGGTGATTAAGTTACTGTGATGCTCTTTTCTTCCCTTTCTCGGGGGGGATGAGGGCCTAAAGAGGGCAAGCTCCCTGCCTACACAATGGGAGCACCAGAGTCCCATGTTCCCCCACCTTTATTCTTCTCTGCATGGAAGCCACCAGAATCCATTGTCACCCTCTCCAAGCCTCAGTTTCTTCCCCTGTAAGAGGAGAGAGGAGGGCCAGGGGAACATCCCCCACACGTACACATACACACAGCGTTGCCCACCCAGCTACTGAAGGGGCAGGAGTGTGCTGGCGTGGGAGGTCACGGCTGGATGGCAGGCTTTGAGAAACCTCTGGAATGAGGGTTTAAAAGTTTGGGGCTCATTTTTGCTACAAGGACCCCGCTTCTGCCCTCCTTTCTTTTCATGACTTTTCACCAACTGTTTCTTCCCTTAATCCAAACCATTGTTTTTCCAGGGTGAGATTTAAATCAAAGCCACATGGCTCCCCCAATATACACCCCTTTGCCAAATGGAAGCGTGATCTGGAGGAACAAGAATCACCCTGTTGAGGGGGATTCTGATCTCTCCGTGGGGACCACCAGGCAATGGGAAGACTTGGGGGGCTTCGAGTTGGCCTGACTGGGGTGAGCTCAGAAGTTTCTAGGCCCAGGGTGGCTCAGACCCAGAGCCCAGGATGGACCACAGTTCTGCCATTGAGAAGATGAGCCCTTTCCTGAGTCCGAGGCTTCCATTTCTTTAGCTGTGGGCGTATGAGATGGTGCCCAGCCCCTGAGGCCCCTTTTGGAAGAGGGGAGGTTCACAAGGTCAGCCCCACAAGGCTTGGCCATTTATAGGTGACTTGAAGCGTTACAGCAGTGTGGCCTAGTGGGCAAGACATCTGGATATGGAGTCTGGTTCATGTCTGATGCTCAGTTGCTTGCTGTGCAACTCTGGACAAGTTCCTTAACTTCTCTGAGCTTCCGTTTCCTCATCAGTAAAATGGGGCGCTTGCCAGAACTCTCTGTTGGTAAACTGCCAAATACCTGGTGCATGGTACAGCTTGCAATAGCAGCTCAGGGAGGCGCAGAAGTGAAAGGGAGTCTCACAGAGGAAGGAGCGAGGTGCCAGGCATGGCATCAAGGCAGGGGGCAGAGAGCAGGCAAGGGAATCTAGGTACCCGACTCCTGACAGTGTGACGGCCCGGGAGGGGAGGCTCACAGGACTCTGGAAGGGGCAGGCTGTTTGTTGTACGCGGGTGGTGGTGGGGGGAGCGTGGGAGGGGGGCTGTGAGGGGGGCTGGGGGGGTGGCAGAGGCCTAGCCAGTCCCCAGGGGCCACTCTCCAGGGGCTTCCCCAGGCCTGGCCTCTGTTTTGCATAGTCTGGCTCTCCCAGGTGGGCCCATTACTTGGAGTCTCAGGGGAAGGGCGAGGTCAGGAGAGTAAGGAGCACCCACCCACCCCACCCCCCACACAAAGAACTAACCGCATACGGCCTGGACACCTGGGGGCTGAGCACACTTGTACACACGGGCCCATGCATCCAGGCACACAGACTAAGACATACATGCAAATATACACACGCTAGACCCATATGCAAAACCTAGACCCAGACAGGCCCATGCGCAGACCCACAGTTCCACAACGGCTCAAACCCACACACAGGAGTGAGCGTGCAGGCCCACACACGCAGACACACACATGTGCACACACACACTCGTGCTGAGAGACGGCGGCTCTCTCTCTAACCCGTTATTCCCTCCGCCAACACAAGCGGGTCACCCACCATGCAGCAGGTGTGATGGGCCCGGACGCAGAGACCAGCCCCACTCCTGGAACTCACAGGCTAGTGAGAAACAAATCAACAGAAGCAAGGATCGCCCTTCACACGGTCAGGTGATTGTGCTCATTTAATCCTCACAATGGCCTTCTGGAGTTGGGGCATCTGCCCGAAGGAAATGGAGGTCTGGAGGGGTGTGGCCTGCCCGAGGAAGGCCTTGGGGAGGTTGAAGAGCCCTCTGCTTCCTCACCGTGACCTCCATACAGGCCAGAGAGGCACTCGGGACACGCCCCACCTTGGGGGTATCTGGGCCTGCAAGGGGCGCCCCCCCAGCCACCGCTATTAGCCAAACTGTGGGCTTTCAACCAGCCACTCTCTCCCCACTCCATCTGCTCCTGCTGGAAGAAATTATTTCACCCATGGTACAGAAGAAGACAGAGTCTCTCAGAGGACTGCTGGCCTTGGAAAGTGGACACTGTGTGCCAGACCAAAACAATTCCTGCTCACCTGCGGGCTCCAGCGGCCTCAGACCCCCTGGTCGGTCAAGGGCTCCTCCCTGACCCTGGCTGGACATAGTGCAGGCACAGCGGTGGATGGGTTGGCAGGCCAGCCCCTAACCACCAGGCAGCCCAGCTTCTGGTTGCTTTCCAAATTCCCTAGAGAGATGTCACCAGGTCAGAGAAAACCAAGCTTCCTGAGTGTTAGGACAAGAGCGAGCAGACATTTGGGGCTCAGGTACTGGCCCCCACTTTTTCCTGCAAGAGGAAGGTGTGGGGGACATCCTTTCATTCAGCCCCTGTCTCAGTGATGCATCATTTCTGGGATCCCTTGGGGCTGGACCCCGTGTGCAGGCCAGGGTTGGTGCAGGAGGGGAAGTCCATAGCCTCACCTGAGCCTCCCATTAGAAGCCCTTGCAAATCACCCTCCAGGGCACACCTGCCCTGGAGCCACTCACAGTCTGTCGCAGAGCCTCTCCGCCTTCTGATCAATTAGAGGAATCTTATAAAATGCAGATTCCTGGGCGCGTTCCCAATCCAGTGAATCGTAGTTTCAGACTAGAATCAGTATTTTTGCAAAGCCTAGAGCTTGGGCTGAGAAGCCAGCACTGAGAACCCCTGGCCCTGGGCCCCTCTGACTGCTAGTTGTTATGTTTGTGATTCTAGCTGGATGTCATCTTATCTCATCCTGGGTTCCTCCAAAGGATGTTCAATAAATGTGTGATGGTGCTATCAGGGGGCTGCCCAGGGTTGTGGGCCCCTGGAGGGGTGTAGCTGAGGGCTCCACTGGCCTGCTGTGTGACCATGGCTGAGTCACCGCCCTCTCTGGGCCTTGGTTCTGCTGGTCTCTAAGGGCTGACTCTTCCTGAGCCACTGCTGGCCCATAAGGGCCATCTGAGCACCAGGAGATGTCCCCCCAGCCTGGGAGGGACTCAGACGGATTGCCCAGGCCTCTCTGGATTTTCCCCCTTTATCTTCTGAAAAATGAGCCCAAGCCCAAGGGGTGCCCTGAGCTAACCTGATCTCTGCGGTCTTCCTAACCTAAGTGGGGGAGAAAGCCTTGTCAGCCCCTGAGCCCCCAGCCCGGGCCTGAGCACTGGGCCGGTGAGGAGGAAGGACCCTCGCCCCTCCTCCCCCCCCGCCCCCCCGCCGTAGGGAGGCCGAGATGGTGGGCGAGGAGCAGGTGCAGAGGTTTCCACTTCTTAGAATTCCTGCAAGGCCTGGGGGGGTGAGCTCACTTACGGGAAAGGGGGATGGGGGGCTCGCTCTTCTCACCCGGCCCGGCTCGGGGGGGCGGCAAGTGCGTCAGCAGCCTGGGCTCCTGGCCTGCCTCCGGAAACGCCGCCCGGGGCTCAGTCACGAACCGGGCGGGCGGCGGGGGGGGGCAGCTGGAGCGCAAGGGGGGGAGTCAGGTGACCTGCAAGGAAGCTTGACTGGGGGCCGGGAGGCTGCACCGGGGTGCAGGGGGAGGTCAACTTCCCCCTTCCCGGGCCTGTACCCCCACACCCGTTGCCTGGCGGGATATCTCTCCAGCTGTCTGTCTGTCCACTGTCCCCCCCACCACCACCAACACCCCCGTCCCACCACGAGCTGTGGGCCCCTGCTGGGCTCCCCTGGTGCCCTGAGGCCTTGTGTTCCCAGCAAACACCAGTCTCGGGGTGCGGGGTGGGAGGGGGCGCTTCAGGCCAGGGTCCCGCGGGGTGGAGGGGTGAAGACCCCAGCCCAGGGCCCGAGGGCAGGAGAACCCTGCCTCCCGACCTCCCTTCCCCCACTCCTCTGCAGCTATTTAAAGCAAGTGGTGGCCGTGGGAAACTTCTTCAGATGTGTGGTTTCGTCTTCTTCAGCACAGGGACCGGGCGTCTGCTCTCTTGGTCTGGTGACTCATCCTGAGTGAGAAAAGCCTTTTTGTTGTTTGGCGCTCGCTCGAGGCTCTCTGGTCTGAGAATCTGGCCCGATGGGGCCTTCCCTCGCTGGGACTCCTGGAAGGTCCTGGAGGTGCCCTGAGCTGCCCCTCTGTCCCGTTGTCACCAGACTCAGGAAGCCCAAGGGCTGAAATGCTCAGCTGCGCTTGGGGGGCTGCCTGGCTGGGAGGGTGCCCATCCTCAAGACTCATCACAGCCACCACCTCCTCCAAGAAGCTGCCCCCGCGCCCTCTGAAACCTCAGCCAGCCTCCCCGTTAGTGACTCGGTCCTCTGCCCTCAGACTTCTCATCTCTGAAATGGGGCAGTGAGTCCAAGCTTGCAACCTGCGGGAAGATTAACTGCAGAACGTGTAGTGTGGTGTCTGACACACAGTAGTTGCTCCATGGACGGGGTTTATGGTTAAGGAGAGTTGCTAATGTTTATTGGGTGCTTCGGTTACCTGAGTGAGTGCATTTAATTTTCCCAACAACTCCAGGAAGTCCTTTACTGTCAAGAGTATTATCTCATTTTACAGAGGAGGAAACTGAGGCACAGGGAATCGAGTTACTTCTGTGTTGTCTCACATCTAGTAAGTGCAAAGTGAGATTCAAACCTACATGAGTTGGCCCCAGAACCCACGCGGTTAATGCTCTGCCAGCCTGTCTCAGGAGCTTGGCACCTGGTGGCTGCTGAAGAGTTGGACTCCAGGGAGTTCCCCAGTGGTCCACTGGTTAAGAATCTGCCTTTCATTGCAGGGGATGTGGGTTCGATCCCTGGTCAGGGAACTAAGATCTCACACACTGCAGAGCAATGACTGAACAACCCGTACGCTCTGGAGCCCGTGAGCCATAACTTAGACCCAACACAGCCAAATAAATCAATAAATACTAAAAAAAAAAAAGGATTTGGACTCCAGGAGCTATGAAGAGCATGCCCCTTCTGCTCAGAACTTTTGCATATACTGCTTTCCTCTGCCTGAGCACTTTTCCCTCACTTGCCTGACCATATCCTCCTCAAACGTGAGAGCTGAGCTTGACGGTCACTTCCTCCTGAAGCCTTCCAGGATTGGTTCTGTTACATGGCCTCACAATGCCCTCACACTGTGCATGTTCATCGTAATTGCTTAAATCATGGTTTGCACAATTTTCTGCCTGGGTCCCTGTCCAGACCTTGACTGTCCCCAGGGCAGGGACGAGTCTGGCCCCTCATGGCTGCAACCGCAGGCAAGCACAGTGCCTGGCACAGGATACATTTCCAAGGCTGTGGACTGAATAAGTGGCACCAAGGCAGCCAGAGGCTGGGAGCAGTGCGGAGCAGCGACCACTCGGGGAGTTTTCCAGGAACTTCCCCTCTTGCCTGTGGTGATCTCTGGGAAAGGCAGGCCCTGGGACCTGCTGCTCAGGGAGGGTTTAGGGGTGACAGGAGGGTCCTCGAGGGGTCAGGCAGAGGATCACTTTCCACGGACAGCAGGTGACCAGCTCTGGAGCCCCTGCCTATTTGCTTACGACCCTGGAGCTTCATGGGGAGTAGGGGGGAAGGAAGGTGTCCTGTATGCCCACTCTGGCAGCAGCTGAGGTCCCATGAGAGAGGAGCTCTCAGCTCTATCCTTGGGGGCCCAGAGGTTGCCTGGGCTGATGGTGCTCAACACAGGTGGGCTTGGGGACAGAGAGAAGTTCCAGGGCAGAGGGGAGCACACGGTTCTTAGATCCCCGGAAAATGGAGGGGGCTGGGGGCCCCTGAGAGATGGATCTGAAGGCGAGGCTGGACTGCCCTGGAGGCAGGGGCAGCAGTTCCTGTCTGGTGATGTCTGGCAGGTGCCCTGGGTACTGCCACGAACACAGAAATCTGGGGCCTCAGACCCAGACCCAGCAGCCATGCCGGGGCGGGGGGGGCAGCTTATCTGACCACAGGAGTGGCTGTTCCAGCAAAGGGGCCCTCTCTCTGCGTGAGGAAAGGGGTATCGTCACAGCAGTCACGCCAGCAGGGGCAAGGCTGTGATCATCGGGTGCAGCCACACCAGCAGGGCGCAGGGGAGAAATGGAAGACGACCGTGGAAGAAGCCACGACCACCACCCACCAGGTAGGGACGGTGCGGAGGACCAGCAAGAGCCGCAGGGCTGACCCCAGGTGCAGACGTTCCCTTTGGCATCAAAGGCTGTGGATACCCCCTCGGGGGCCTGGGCCCTGGGGGCCCACCGCCTAGCATCTCCACCATCTCTTTCCCGGGTTCTCCTGACTGCCTCGCTGGCCTCGTGAGAGGCCCGTGGAGGCCCCAGGAACACTCCCAGGAGGGACACCGCAGGCAGGGCCTGGGAGGACGGCAGGAGAGAGGCCAGGGCCCCTGGACAGGCCGGGGCGGGAGCAGGGAGGAGAGCGAGGCCGTCCTGGACATTGGGGTCTGCCTTCTCCCCGCTCACCCTCATCCTGCCCGGAGCACAGATGAGAACATGGGTTGGGGGGGAGGGCAGAGCAGCCTGGAAACTTGAAAAGCTAAGGCACCAGGACTCAAAGCCCCAGACCCAGACCTCTTCACTTGGGTGAGATCCACGCCATCTCTCCGCTGCTCCTGGAAGGAGAGAGAGGAAAGATGGGGAGGGGGGTGATGAAACAGGCCCTGAGGGCTGGGGAACGCTGGCCTCGCTCGCTCCGGCCTCGGTTTCTAGCACCTGTGAAGCCGCTTGGCCTCCACCACCCCCCGGGGCTCTCCTAGCGGGTGGGTCTCACGGGGGGGATGGGAGCGGCGGGGATGGCATGTGGTGAGGACAGGCATCCCTTCACCAAGGTCTTCGCAGCTCCGTTACCCCAAACGGAGACCGAGCTTGACCGGGAAGGTGAGCGCTGGCCGTTCAAGCTCGGCGGAGACGGACAGAAGACTCTGCCCGCCGTCTGCCCCATCCCGCCCGGCTGCTGAAACACAGAGAAAGCTGTCTTCCCTGAGGCCACAGGGGCCCACCTCACTTGGAAAGTCACAAACTGACTCACACTCAGGCCCCCGCTCCGTCCACTCCCAACTCCCCGCCCTGGCTTCAGAATCATGGGGGTCTCCCCATGGCACAGAGAAAAAGGCTGCGGCCCATCAAGGGCAAGGGACTCATCGCAGGTGCCCACCCCTCCCCTCCCCCTCAAGGAGGCCAGTCAAGAGCAGAGTCCTGAATCCAGGTGTCCGAACTCGTGGTTCCCTCACTACCACCAGGGGGGAAAAAAAGGATTTATTAAGGACCCCAGATGTCCTCCCTGGTCTGTCTGGGGCTGCTCAGGTCTGGGTCCAGCTTCAACCACACCCTTGCCCTTAAGGTTCAGTCCTGCCAGTGCCAGGGGCCCCAGACACTGCCCGCTGGACCCAAGCGGCCCCTAGGAAAGGCCTGAAGAGGCCGAGCCAGAGCCTAGTGCCAGGGCTCCATTAGGCCACAGCAGGGCCAAGAGCTGCCCCTGGACCCACCTAAGGAGGAGCTGTCTGCAGTTCTTTCCCAGCCCTGTGCAGTTTGTAGAGCCAAGATTTCTCCTTGGAGGGCTCACTGCTTCACACCAGCCCAGAGGGTGAACAGAAGAGAAGCCAGAAGCACCTGCTCGGTGGAGAAGCCACAGTTAACCTCAGCTCTTCTCTCCACGTTGGGTTCGGGAGGCTGGGTCTTTTAGAGGCAGAAGAAAGTTCCCTGTGAATTCCTGAATGGTAGTTCAGGGAGGATTTGAGACAGTGGATTTGGGGTCAGTGGGGACAAGGGACCCAGCCAGGATCACACAGAAAGTTTGGGCTGAGTCAGCAGGGGAGATCTGTCTGCTCTGCCCAGCGCTGCCTCTGATCTGAGGCTGGAGCTGAGCTGACCGAGGCCTGGCTTGGGCATGACCTCCAGATGGTCCGTGCAGGTGAGGTGGGGGCCTCTGTCTGCAGCCAGGAAGCCTGCCTGATTCAGAGCCACCAGGCGAGGGAAAGCCCAAGGTCAGACAGGAGTGGAAGTGTAATGCCCCCTCCACCCGCTTACATACCCCCCGCCCTTTGCATATGACTGGGAACGTCTGAGCTGGGGCTCTGGCCGGATTCTAGTCCAACCCAGACATAAAATTTCCCCTGTGGTTTGGAATGGATCGTGGCCATCATTTCCTGTGCCCCAAGGGAGGTGAGGGCAGGACAGGGCAGGGCAGGGGTCCAGAAAGGGAGCAACCCCACCATCAGGTGCTGCAGAGCCGTGGGTGGAAGTGCTGGCGTGAGAGTCTGCCTCCAAGGGTCCAGTCCTGGGCAGACTGCAGGCTCACTATGTGACTTCCAGCAATTTCCTTTCCTCTCCCCTGTAAAATACATATCATTTGAATACTTCATTGTCCTGAAGAAACAAAAGAGACACAGGAGAGACTGAGGCAGGGGGTTTTGGGAAGGAGTGCAGCTTTGAGTCACAAAGATCTGAGATCAAATTCTGCTCGGCCACTTCTTTGCTGTGTGGCCTTGGGCAAGTGACTTGGCCTCTCTGAGTCTCCACCTCTGCATTCATAGAACTAATGAATGAGTTGAGCACTACTATGAGTTGAGCCTCTCCTTCCGCCCCAGAGCCAACTGACCACTCATAGACATGTCCAACTACCCAGAAGGTAGGGGCTCTTTTTAAATCTTGTGGGCAATGAGGGAACGAGGCTTAGTAGCCCAGAATCTGGACCCCAGCTATCTGACTCCAGATTCTTGATGCCTGTCATACAAGAGGGATCACCGGGAAGATCAGAGGAGATAATCTGAGCAAAGGTCCTCACTTGTCCTTAACACATGAAAATTATCATCATCATCATCATTTCAGTTTTCCTCTTGCTTCCCTTTCCCTGGTTAATGCCAACCCCACTTCCTAAGTCCACACGGCTTCCCACTGCTTGTCTCTGGGTGGCCCCTCCCTTATTCTGGGACCCTCCCTCCGCCCTATCTGTACCCCCAGCCCTCATGGCTGTGCCCATCACTGGGCCAGGGGCTGGGTGGGGGGGGGTGTGCTCCTGCAGGCCTTCAGCTCAGCCACCAGTCCAGGACTGCACAGAGCTCTTAGCGTGTGGAGCCCCCAGCCCCATTCTTACTGCACGTTCTGTGTCAGCGGCCTCCGGACCCTGGGGTGTTGGGGACGGCTGAGTAGAAGGGCTGCTCTGACACCCCCCTGAGGCGGGTTCTATTTACAGGTGGAACTGTTGGTTGCCTGCAACAGAATATCTAGCACAGGGATCCCCAGCCTCCAGGATCAAATGCCTTATGATCTGAGTTTGAGCTGATAGAATAAAAAAATACAAATAAAGTGCACAATGAATGTATTGTGCTTGAATCATTCTGAAACCGTTCCCTGTTCCCCCCTCCCCACACCCCGTCTGTGGAAAAATTGTCTTCCATGAAACTGGTCCCTGGTGCGAAAAAGGTTGGGGCTCACCGCTCTAGAATATCTTGCCCTGATGCCAAAATGTCCATCAGTAGCCAGCCCCCCTTTGGGGTCGGAGCCATTCAGCACATCCCTGGTAAATTGTCCCAGGAAACAGAGCAGCTGTCATACCTAAGAGGGAATGAGCCCGGGGAGGGGTCACAGAGGGGGGCTCTGAGCAGAGAGGTGAGGTGTTCTGCAGCCTGCTGGATCCTGCACCCCTAGGCTCTATGATGAGCACTTGGGGTTGAAGTGTGGGTAGAAAGGATAAAATTTCCCCCCAATTCTTCCCAGCACGCACCCCCTCAGCCGACTGGTCTGCTCATTGAATGAGCATCTGCCAGGTGCCATGTGCTGCGGGCACCTGTAGGCCCACCTGAATGTCGCCATGTCGCCCACAAAAGCATGCCCCACCTGAGTCTGGGGGGTGGGAAGGGGTGAAACACAGAGGGTCGCGGTTGTCACCAAGAGGGAGACTGACGGGTGGTCTTCAGTGTGAAGTCAGCTTTGGTTTTTCGGTTGAGAATCACACCCACATTCACAACCCACGGGAAGGAAGATGCTTGGGGCCAGATTCTGTGTTTTCTGGAAACACCACAGGGCGGTGAAAAGGTTTTCCAGGCCCTGACCTCAAGCCCAACAGGCAAGATTGTAATCGCTGAACTGTCTCTAGGTGTCTCCCACGATCTGGATCCAGCTTTGCGACCTCAGGACGTCAGGAAGAGAAACACCCCTGGCCCAGAGGCCCCGCCACCCACACAGAACACGACAGAAACTTCGTCAAGCTCTGACTTGGCGCCAAACACTTCCCATGCATTTGCCTGTTTAGTTCTCACACCTCTGCCATGACAGATGCCATGGTGATCGCTTCCGGGGAAGCCAAGGCTCAGAGACGTCAAGTGACAGCCAGAGACCAAGACTGAAGCTCAAGCTCAGAACCACTCAGCTACAGAGTCCCACACCCCTAGGGCCCTCCTTCTCCCACACCCGCAACGCCGCGGGAGCACTGCCGTGCCCAGCAGGACCCCGTGTCGAGACAAAAAGAGGAGACAGAAAAGGACCAGGAAGACTGCACAGCTCTTGCCTTCAGTGGGGGTTCAGGAAATGTCTGTTGACCACTGATCCTATTCGCATAAAAACAAAACCGTGGGTGCATGTGCATAAAATGAATACTGGCATAACATGCACCCAAATGTTAACATTGAAGAGGATAAAGAATGGATTGCCTTTCTCTTTTCTGTGTAAATGTGCATTCTACAAATTTGCTACAGGAGGTTAGAAGAGAAACAATTAAAGGGAAATCAGACGCCTAAGCCAGAGCTGTCTAACCCACTTGGGGCTTGAGGGTTTCGAGGAGAGGTGGTCTGGGCAGCTGCAGACGACCAGAGGGCTCCCCAGTGAGGTGGCCACTTGGCTTCACACACAAGAGGGGACAAAGACCGGTGGCCAGCCCCCCAAGTCTGAGCATCTTGGGGTGGGATATTTGGGTGGAGGGGGGTATGGGGCGGGTAGTAGACAAGGAGGAGAACATTGGGTCAGCAGATCCTGGGTCCAGCTCCCCCTTTAGCTCAGGGTACCACGTGAGTCACGTCATTGCCTGTGTGAGCCTCAGTCTCCTCATCTGCAAAATGGGCCTCCAGGGCTGGCATGAGGACTCAGTGAGATCTGTAAACAGATGATCTTCCAGCCCCCAGCTCATAGTTGGCGCTCAGACTTTGGAAGCTCTTGGTTGTGGGTCTTTTCTCACAGGCCCCAGTGGCCTTTGCGGAAAGCTCTGGCCCCCAGCTGGGAGCTGGCTGGAGGAGTCTAGGGTCTAACCCTCTGGCTGAAGGTGAAGGATCTGAGGTTCAGGGAGGGGAGGAGATAAAGACAGGACAGACTCCTCCCTCCACCACACCCAGCTGCCCCTTCCAAGCCTCAGTTCCAGGGGCAGCCAAGTGTGGGGCTCTGGTGCTTCCAAGGAGATCGGAGGTCCGCTCCGTGTATCCTGACATCTTCCCAGGACAGGCCTCTCCCCTCCTCCCAGCCAGCGGGGCCCAGGACCCGTGGACACCGGGACTGACAAAGTTCTCCTTCTCACTCTCCTTCTGAGTCAGCCCACGGCACCGCGGAGGTGACTCAGAGAACTCAGAGCCCCACGGCGCACCCCGTCCATCCCAGAAGAGAAGAGCTCGGCCCCAGGCTGGCTTTCCCGGCGTCTGCCCCCCCCTCCCCCACCTATGTCTCTCGGGACTCCCTGGGAAGAGGAGACTGGAGGGATGGAGGAGGAGGAAAAGGAATCAGAGGGCAGCAGACCAGGGCCATGTCTCCCAGGTCTCTGCTACTGCCCGAGCCAGGAAGTCTAGTGTGGAGACAGCGGGAGATCCGGGCGCCCTGTTAGTTAACTTTTGTTCAGTTGCTCGTTTGTTCAGCAAACATCTGTAAAGTGGCCCCTTGGTGCCAGGCACTGGGCTGGGCTCGGGGGTTAGAGATGAATCAGAGCTGGTGCCCTCTCCCCGGGGACTCCCAGGCTGCTGGAGGAGACAGCCGTGGAGACAAATAATTAAAGACATGAATGAAGCTCTTTGAGATAAAAATACACAGGATCTGTGAAGGAACACAGAGGGGCCACTGAGATGATAAACTTAGCAATTAACATAAATGTAACTAGAGGGAGAACTCCTGTATCCCCCAGAGTGGGGTGGGTGGTGGGAGGTCAGGGTGGGGGACCTGCTCTTGAGAGGTGCCCAAGGCCCCACCCTCTGTCTGGGCTCTTCCTGCCCGCTGCTGCCTGCCCTCCACTCTTCCTCTGGAAAGCGTTAGCCCTCTGAGATTCGGGACTGGGGAGAGACCCCAGGGAATTCAGGAATCAGATTGGGATTCAAGGATCCACTTGTAGGCTTTGATCTGCATGCAACTCGCTTACTTTGTGACCGTGTGCAAGTTACTTGTCCCCTGAACCTCAGTTTTCTCATCTGCCAAGTGGAGGCCTGGATTTGAAGATAACTATAATAGCTGATATTTGCAGAACATTTCTGTGTACCAGGCATTGCACCAAATGCTTTGCATATGTTACCCTGTTCAGTCCTTACATCCGCACCATGAGGTAAGTACTATTAATAGAAGAAATCTCCTATCCAATGAGAGCAAAACTAGTGGTCTATTACTAGAAAAAAAAAAGAATACTTAAAGCAGGACATCTTACAATACATAAATAGACATTATATTAAACATAACATGTGGGCATGTTATACTTATTAGATGATCTTTTGCAGGAGGGCCAAGGCTTTTTGAGACCAAGGCCTCCGGCTACAGTCCTACCTTGTTTTTCTTGCATAAAACAAACCTGTGCAGAAGGTTTGATGGTCCCCATGTGGGTTTCTTTCAAATGGAGAGAGATATCTAAGAGATGCTTGTCAAGCAATCTGTAAGCAGAATCCTTCTGGATTTTTAATAACACCCCCCCAAGTTGTAACCTACACCTATTTCAACAGAAGTTTCTGGTGGATTTTAACAATTTTTTTTCACTGATCTTTTAATTTTCTTGTGAAGTCCCTCAGTTGTGTCCAACTCTTTGCAACCCCATGGACTGTAGTCTACCAGGCTTCTCTGTTCATGGAATTTTCCAGGCAAGAATACTGGACTGGGTTGCCATTTCCTTCTCCAGGGGATCTTCCCAACCCAGGGATTGAACCCAGGTCTCCTGCATTGCAGGCGAACGCTTTACCATGTGAGCCACCAGGGAAGCCCTAATTTATAATTCAGCATTTCTCTTCTTTTTTGGACAGTTCTCCTCTGTTGGATCTTTCTGAGGCCCTTTCTTAGTTTTCAGAGACACATCAACTCTTTGTCCCGCTCTCACTCACGTTGCGTTGGTTTAAGTTACAACTGGCAGCTACAGATTCAAGGACAGGCCTCCCTGAGCCAGCCGGAGTTGATGGCATTGGAAAGTGGCCACCAGCCCGGAACACTCAGAACGCTGCGACACCCACTAGTCTGCCTTTCAGAGGAAGGGAGAATGTTTATAAACCCAGAGAATCCATCGGGTGGCGGCTGGTTAAGGCCATCTCTGCTGCTTTGTATCCATTTTGCAGGTGAGGAAACTGGTGCATGAAGTCTCCCCAAGGCCACCCTCAGCTGGGAAGTACTAGGGTTTGAAGAGGGCCCGGTCTGGCTCCATGCTCTGTATCCCTGTTGTCAGCTGCCTCCTTAACACTCTGAGACTCTATGAGCCTCTGGCTTCCCTGCCAGAAGGACTACATACATAGGGTGTTGTGATCTCCTACATGGGACTTGAGGCATATTTAAAAATCCTCAGGGACTTCGCAAGCAGTGCAGCAGTTGAGACTCTGCGCTTCCACTGCGAGGGGCCTGGGTTCGATCCCTGGTTGGGGAACTAGGATTCTGCATGCCATGAGGCACAGCCAAAAAATAAATAAAACTTAAAAAACAGAACATGTGGAGCACTGCGCCTGTATAAGGATGATGGGGTAAGGGGTAAGGGAACACATCTCCCTCGGGTCCGTGTCCCCAAACCCAGGGCTCTCACGCATCTGTGGAGTTGGCTGGGAGCAGGTGGCGGGGTGCCTTTCGTCTTTCCATATGTCCCCGGGGTCCTGCTCCAGAGCAGGCACGGGGATCGGGTTCTAGGACAGAACAGGGAGGAGAAGCAGCCGCCCTCGCTGCCCTCAGGGCTCAGGGCCGTGGGATCCTTCCAATGCCTTTCACGTCCAAGCCCCTTCTGGCTCAGACTTCTGTCTGGGAGCAC